CTTTAGAGGAAGACCACTGAAAGAAAACTATTAAGTAATAAAAGGTAATACGTAGATAGAGCAAAACCGGTGGCAGAAGATTGGGAATGACTAAAATTTCAGTATCAGAAGCCATCTGTCTGGATTAAGACAAAGATGAAGGACAAAGCCAAAGAGTCCCAAATTCAAGTTTGGGAACTCTTAGGCACCAATCTCTTCCAAATTCCAGAAGACAAGACACAGTGGGGCTCGAAACTTTGAGTGAATTTTAAAAGCCAGTGCAAGACGCCCACTTGTCCTGGCAGGTGACAAACTTGGCTGATGTCTTTATCCCTTTTCCATCTCAGGCATATTCCCTCACTGGGTGCTGGGCCCTCTTTGAGGGTGAGAGGAGGTGGCATTTCTAAGGGAAGAAGAGGCAATACAAATAATTAAAGCTGTGCTGTTTGGAGGAGGCAGACGGGAAGGCTACGTGAAGGATGTGACATCTGAGCTGGGACTGGAGGGAGAGGTTGGATTTCAACAGATGCAGGAGAGGGGGTGGGGCTTGGGCTCAGAGAAACCCGAGGGTGTGTCTGGGCAGGTGGCTCTCTCTAGCCCTGGGGTGTGAGAGACGAGGAGGGGTGCAGGAGAGGATGTGAAAGGCCTTGAAAATCAGCCCAAGTGGCTGAAGTTTGATCTGGCAGGCAATGGGGAGCCCTGGATGGTGCGTGAGCAGGAGAGGAGTCCCCTTTAATTGCTGTTTTAAAGCACAGTGGAGCTTATTGATTTTGTCAGGGATGTGGGGTTTTTTTTAAAGATTAATTTATTTATTTCAGAGAGAGCGAGAGAGTGCCTGAGTAGTGGGGAGGGGCAGAGGAAGAAGAGAAGTAGACTTCCTGCTGGCTGCAGAGTTCAACACGGGGCTGGATCCCCGGACCCTGAGGTGAGCCAAAATCAAGAGTTGGATGTTCAATGGACTGAGCCACCCAGGCACCCCAGGGATGTGGACTTTTTAGGGATGTGAAGGACATCTGCTCTGGTGCCTGGCTGGATGTGTGGTTTCGGGTGGCAGAGGAGGAGAAGAAGAGAGGAGTGGGTAACAGCTCAGTGTCTCTGCCCTCAGAGAGATAGGGACAAGGAAGGAGGAGCAAGTTGAAGGGCCCAGTAGGCTTCCTGGCTGTTAGCTTGGGCAGGTCACGTGGCTACTGTAAGCCCCCATATTTGTACAGATAAAACGGAGGCAATGATCGCAAGATGAAGTGGGGTTTGCAGGGTGCTCGGCCCCAGGCTTGGTACAGACCATGGGCTGGACAGACATCAAACACTTGGGGCGTGTGGTTGGATTTGGGCAATCCCAGTAGTTCTCAACTGGGGCAGATTATCCCCCTAGGGGACATTTGGCAATGCCCGGAGATACTTCTGGCTGTCACATTGTAGAGGGGGAGGACCGACTGCCATCTAGTCAGCAGAGGCCATGGGTGCAGCTGAACATCCTACAATGCACAGCCCAGCCCCCACCACAGAGAATGATCCCGCCCCAGGTGTCAGCCCTGATGAAGCCGAGACACCCTGTCTGCCAAGGAGAGGCACTGGGGAGGCAGCTGTTGCCCATCAGGAGAAGTGCATCTCTGAGTCACCTGTCCTGGGAGGACATGGATGCCCAGCGAGTAGGTCAGTGAGGTCACCTGGGAGGAGGTGGACAGAGAATGCGTTGACAGAAGCATGGATCACAGCTGCGTTTAGAGAGAGGGCAGGCAGAGGCATGAAGCTGGAGGGAGAGATGAGCCACATCTGGGAGGTTGAGGAAGAATGGCCTGTGCCCAGAGGGCAAGGGACCCAGGGCCTGGGAAGGGCAAGGGCTCCGTGGTTCCCAGGCACCAGAGTCCTCATCCTGGTAGCAACCAACAAACTGTAATCAAAGTGGGAGGGTGAGACATAGAAGTGGTGGCCAGGTTAGGGAGATGGTCCCAGAAAAACGTGTGCAAGTGGACAAAGGAGGAGCATGGCAGGAGTGAGGGGAAGAGTTTTTCCTGGGCCTCCAGGAGCTCACAGCAGACTTTTTGGGGGCAGAGACAAAAAGAAGAGCAGTTTCCTCCAACACTGTTGGTGAAGACGTAAAATGGTGCAGCCGCGATGAGAAACAGTTTAGCAGTTCCTCAAAAAGCTAAACATAGAATTACCATATGAGCCAGCGATTCCGCTCCTAAGTATACAACCAAAAGAAGTGAAAACAGAGACTCAGTGTCCCTGTATGTGCATATGTCCACACAGATTCAGAGCAACATGATTCACAGTCGCCAAAAGGTGGAAACAACCCAAGTATCCATCAACGGAGAAATAAACAAACGTGGTCCATCCATATGGTGGAATATTACTCAGTCATAAAAAAGAACGAGGCCCTGACACATGCTACCCCATGGGTGAGCCTCGAAAGCATCATGCTGAGTGAAGGAAGCCAGACACAAAAGGTCATGCATTGTATAACTGCATTTCTGTAAAATGACCAGAAGAGGTAAATCCATAGAGACAGAGCACATCAGGGATGACTGGTGACAGGGGGACAGGGGCAGTGAGGAGTAAAGCCCATATCCAAGGAGAATGAGTGCAGGATCTCCTCTTGGGATGATGGAAAAATTTTGGAACTAGACAGCGGTGATATGGTTGCACAATATTTGTGAATGTACTAATGCCACCGAACTATACACTTCAAGAGGGTTAACTTTATATTATGTGAATTTCACCTCAGTAAAAAAAGAGAGAGCCAGCAAGAAACAGAACACTAATTTGAAAAGAGTTTAATAAAAGCACTATTTCAAAAAGATAGTACAGCCAGGAGCCATTACCATCCCAGAGCCCTGGTACCTGGGGCTACGGGGCAAAAGCAGTTGCTAGAACCTGGACTTGATAGGGCTATTTGCAGAGAGAGGACTGCCTGGCAAAAGCTGTTGGTTGAGGGGCACAGGCAGCCTGCATGGACCACACCGGAGAGGAGATGAGATACTAATACCCTGACCTCAGTCTCCTCCCTCCCTCCAGTGCCTGCTGTGACTCCCTATTGGCTGAACCCAATTGGAAGCCATAAGGCAAAGGTTGAGTGGTCCATTCAAGTCAGCCTCCCAGGGCACAAAATAGGGGGCAGAAGGGTGGAGACAAGGCAGGAGGTAATTCAAGGTTTGGAGCAAAGACCAGAGCAGTTCAGGGATGTGGTGTGAATGGAGCAGCAAACACCTTCCAACTCATCACTCACCACACTCTTGCTCACTGCCACTTGCAACCATCTTGCCAAACCCTTCAAGGCCATCTGTCTCCCCCTCAAAGCCTTTGCACATGCTGTTCCCTCCTCCTGGAATTCTCTTCCCTCTCCCCTGCTCTGCTAACTCCTACTTCTCCTTCAGGTATCAGCTCAAAGGCCATGTTCTCTGAGGACTTCCCTAACTTCTGAGCTCAGTTCAAGCTCACGCTCCATGCAGCCACAGCCCTGTGCATCCTTGGTCACAGCAAACTCGCTCTTGGGACGGTGTGTTTAGCTGGGAGCTCTGTGCATGTAGACAGCCTCTTGCTCACTCCCTGCCTTTTTCCCCAGCCCTGGAGAGCACAGAGCACATGTTCATTCAGCAAACACCAAGCTCCCAGGAAGTACCAGACGTTGTTCTACAGTGGAGATGCACTAAAGCATAACTAGAAACACATAAGCAAAAAGCTTATTTTATGGGATGTGCGCTGTGGAGGACAATCTAGGGAGGCAAGGGGATGAGGAAGACCTCGAGATGCTCTTTGAGCAGAGACCAGAGGCTGGACCTTGCCTGAAGAAACAGCCAAGAGCCCAGTGAGGCCGGAGCCGAGTGAGCGATGGAGAGAGTAGGAGGACACAGGGGCTGGAAGGTGACCGGACGGATTGTGCCCCTAGGAGGCACTTCGAGTTTTCCTCTGGGGAATGGGCGCCCCAGACGGTATCCAGCTGGGGAGGATGCTGACTGCGCAGGAGCCTGACTGGGATTTTCCCGGTTCCCTCCGGCTCTGTTGCGCCGACGAAAGAGGGCGCCAGAGCGGTGGGAGGAGCCGGAGGAGGAGCCGCCCTGGAGGGACGGCGCTGTGAAAGGTATTAGGATTGGGGGTTTGTTTAGAGGTGACGGGACTTAACGACAGACGGAATGCGTGTGTGAGAGGAGGGAAGGCAGGGGTGACGCCAAGGGTTTGGGCCTGGGCCACATCTAGGCTGGCGTTTTCGATGGAGAAATGGAGACTAACTTGGGGAGAAGAAGCGGGGGGAATGGAGAGAAAGACGGCAAATGGGAAGAGAGGGAAAAGGGGAGATGGTCGCAATAAGGAGCCAGGCGGGTGCAGGACACCCCCTGGGGTGGGCGGCGGGAGGAGAGGCCCTGGTCTTCAAAAGCTAGAGAGATGGAGAGCACGCTCCCAGAATTGGGGATTGCTGCTGGGGAGAGCAGGGAGCACCAAGGGGGCAAAGACAATGCTGGGTGGGGGGCGGGGTCGTGAAGGGGAATGCGAACAAGATTACTTCTTACCAGGTATGGCTAGGAAAGTGTCCTTCCTGGACTCTGCCTGGAGCGACCCAGGCCCCTCCCTTCCTCCACACGCACCTGTCTCCATTTTCCCCCAGTTGGTGGGGGATTAATCTCCACCTCCCCCTACCAGGGCCCAAGGACACGGGATCTGTGGGATTTGCGGATTGGAAGCTAAAAGGTACTGCGGGCATCAATGATACCTCGGTCCGATTTCCCCTCAGCCAATTAGATTCCACCCTCCTACGCCTCAGTCAATTAAATGTTCTCTAGCCCTCGGCCAATCAGACTCTGCCTTCCCTTCTTTCAGTCAATCAGACGCTCCTCTCCCGCTTCACAGACAACTAAATTCCACACGTGCTCCCTGGCCCACTGAACTACTCCTCCCTCCACTAATCAGGCTCGGCCCTCCCCACATACCTCACCCTATCAGAAACAACTCTTTTGTCCGTCGGCCAATAAGAAAGCCCCGTTAGAAGAAGCCTGGGGGTGTCTACACCAGAGTCCACCACTTACCTGCTGTATGGCCTGGAGTACGGCTCTTAGCATCTCTGTGCCTCTTTCTTCTCAACTGTAAAATCATCTTCCTTCCTTCTTGGGGTGGGCCTGAGGCTGCCACCTGAAAGCGATCTCTTCCTAAAAATACGTTGTGTAAATGTGTGTTATTATTTCTCCTCCCTCCTTCAAATCCCCCAAAGCTGTTTCCTACGATGGAACTCCCTTCCCTGCCAGACCATCCCATTTATCCTTCAAAACCCAATCCCTCTTCCAGGAACTTGTCTATGCCCCCTTCCCAAGCTGTACCCCAGCTGCCCCTCTGGCTCTTCTAGCTAACCTAGTCATGACCATGTAGGGCAGAGAGTCTAGCTGAAATTGTCCCCTCCGCCCACCCCCCACCCGCACTTCCCCGCTGCTGGAAACCTCAGAGCCCAGAGCTTGGAAATTTGGGGGCCACAGAATCTCCCACCATGAGGGTGGGCACAAAATGCTGGTGTCATTTGAATACCTGCTGACCAACCGCGTCAATGAACAAATCAGTTTCAATATGGATCAGCTGCAGGGGAAGCCCATCATTGGACTTGGTGGAATCATTAAATCCCTTAAAATCATGTGCAAAATCGTGCATTTATCTTTTCAGGAGAGACTTGGAGCTAGAGCTTTCACTAGATTGGGGGGGTGGGGGAGTTAAGAACTTTCTTGGAAAATTGGAGTCCCAGGTTCCCTGGTTGTCTCAGTTGGTTGAGCAACTGCCTTCAGCTCGGGTCATGATCCTAGAGTCGCGGGATAGAGTCCCGCATCGTGCTCCCAGCTCAACAGGGAGTCTGCTTCTCCCTCTGACATTCTCCTTTCTCGTGGTCTTTCTCACTCTCTCTCTCTCTCTCAAATAAATAATAAAATAAAATAAAATTGGAGTCCCAGAGATAGGCAGTAGCTTGCCCAAAGTCACACAGCCTGGTAGGAACAGAGTCAGGAATTTAGCCCTTGGGGCCCATCGGAGGAGCCTCCTGGGACTTGGAGACTGAGTATAAAAAGGTATTTAACCTCATGATCCAGTTTAGGGGGAAGAAAATTCAAGTTTATTAAGAAGCCCAGGGCGCCTGGGTAGCTCAGTGGGTTAAGCCTCTGCCTTCAGCTCAGGTCATGATCTCAGGGTCCTGGGATCGAGCCCCGCATCGGGCTCTCTGCTCAGCAGGGAGTCTGCTTCCTCCTCTCTCTCTCTCTGCCTGCCTCTCTGCCTGTTTGTGATCTCTGTCAAATAAATAAATAAAATCTTAAAAAAAAAAAAAAAAGAAGAAGAAGAAGCCCAACGGTCAGTCAGTTGACAGACATTTCGTGAACACCTGAATGCTATGTGCCAGGCACTGGTCTCAGCCCTGGGGATGCAGCCCCGAGCAAGACAGGTCCCTGCTCCCATGGAGTTTCCCTCCAAGTGGGGGAGGCAACAATAAATAAATAAATGCATACATAAGATAAATAAACAAATGACTAAGATACTGTCAGGTAAGGGTCTTGGTAAATAGAATGAGCTCACAAGGAGGGACTGGGAACCTAGTTTACGCAGGGTGGTCAGGGCTAGGCTTCTAGGAGGAAGTAATGTTTGAGTGATCCCTGAATGATAGGAAGACATGAACTGGAACATTCCAAGCAAAGTGAGCAGCAAGTACAAAGGCCGTAAGGTGGAATGAAAGTCGCATCGTCAAGAAGAAAGAGGCCAGTGGGCTGGACTGAGGAACCCATGAGGAGAGGAGATTAGAAGGGCTGGTAGAAGCCAGAGCCTGAAAGTTCTAGTGTATGCACTGCAGAAAGGAGAGGGAAGGGAGAAGGGTGCTCCACAACAGAGGGACCAGTAGGAGACGATGCCTGGAAGCAAGGAAAGTGCCTGGCCTGTGCCTGTTTGGGGCACCGGAAGTCACCCTGCCTCCTGCTGTGCTGATATAAACTATAGACCAGAAAGGAGGAGTGAGTGGGTTGGGGCAAAGGTGACCTCCACCAGGGAACCAGTTGTGGTTCATGACCACAGGCTACCCCAGGCTGATTCAGCAAGATTCTGTGTTATCAAAGGTCAGCTCCCCAAACAGCAAAGCAACCTAGCAGCAAATTGCCCCCCACCCCAGAGGACCTCCCTTGGAAATTTCTCCTCGCTAGCTTCCAGAAAGATTAAGCTTCAGAAAATTTCTCAAAAATGCTTGTAGGGTGAAACCAGTCACCAACCACTGTGTGACTTTTGGCAAGTTACTTCACACCCCTAAGCCTCAGTCGACCACGTTCTTGTTTGTTTGAGCCTTCATAAATCAAAGGCATAATATAGGCACCTTCCTCTGCCTACAGTACCATGTTGAGTCTCCACAATAAAGGAAGGACTTGGATTAGGATCATTTATAGGTAGAGTGGTGGAGGCTCAGAGGAAGGAAGCAACTTGCCCAAGTTGGGAGGTAAACCCAGATCTGTCAGAGTTCAGAGATGCAAAGACTATGAGGGGCCCAATCCTAAGCCCTTCCTTAGCAAGTGTCCAGCACTCAGTGGTCACTGAGTGCAGACAGGGAATAATCTGATGGCCATTAGCCTCAGGATGGTGTGGGGCCACCTCTCCCAACCTCAGTTTCCTTGGCTGCCAAATGGGGACTTAGAATTCTTCACTTTGAATTCTCTCTTCGCTGGCTTTGTGAGGCAACAGAGATAGAAAGTATTCGATGGTCCCTCAAAAAGTTAAACATAGGAGCGCCTGGGTGGCTCAGTGGGTTAAGCCTCTGCCTTCGGCCTAGGTCATGATCCCAGAGTCCTGGGATGGAGTCCCGCATCAGGCTCTCTGCTCAGCAGGGGGCCTGCTTCCTCCTCTCTCTCTCTGCCTGCTGCTCTGCCTGCTTGTGATCTCTCTCTTTGTCAAATAAATAAATAAATAAATAAGTCTTTTAAAAAATTAAGTTAAACATAGAGGTACCATATGACCCAGCAATCCCACTCCGAGGTAGAGACCCCAAAGAATTGAAAACAATATTCAAACAAGTACAAGTACACACATATTCACAGCAGCACTCTTCACAAAAACCAAAAGTGGAAACACCCCAAATGTCAATGAAATTATGAACGGGTAAGCAAAATGTCCTATGTACACACAATGGCATGTCATTCAGCTGTAAAAAGGATCAGAGCCCTGACACACACCACGAAGATGAACCTCAGAAACATTACACTGAATGAAAGAAGCCAGTCACCAAAGTCATGTAATGTATGATCCCTTTTATATGGAATGTCCAGAATAGGTCATTCTTAGAGACAAAAAGCAGAGCAGTGGTTGGCAGGGGCTGAGGGGAGGGGAAATGGGAAGTGATTACATAATCCGTACAGAGTTTCCGTCGGGGGTGATGAAAATGTTCTGGAACCAGATAGAGGTGATGGTTGCACAACACTGTAAATGTACTAAATGCCCCAGAACTATTCTCTTTAAAATGATTGATTTTACATTACATGAATTTCACCACAATAATAAATACATGGTAAATAAATAAATAGTGGGAAGCGGGTTGATACAATTTTATATCACTGATTCCTTTGCTAAGGCCATGAGATAAGCACATTATTATTGCCGTTTTAGAGTTAGAGAAATCAAGGCACAGAGAGGGGAGGTGCTCTACCTAGGGAGTGGGGAAGACTGAATGGGTCGTGGGGTCTCCCTGACCTTGGGGAAGACTGAATGGGTCCTGGGGTCTTCCTGACCTCAAGCAGGTCCCAATCCTCTGCCTGGGAGCCATGCAGGTGACAGACACCCACACTGAGTTTACCATCCTTGAGTACAGGTGACCCAGCCAGAGGGCAGACAGCAGAACCCAGGATATTGGCCAGCTTGACCTGGTTCTTTTTTCCTGGCCCAGGAGGAGACAGCAAGGAGGCCCAGGGCCAAGGAGCTGTCCTTTGTTCAGAGAGAAAACCTGTTATTATCACCTCTCTATGCCCAGTCACATGCCGAATGCTCTAAGAAGACTCAATCCTGGAGCCAGCCCTCTAGAAGCTCCCAGTCTGGAGAGTACATTGTTGGACACAGACACTCCCAACAGCTCAGTATCAGGGCTCAGCCAAAGAAAGGAGGCCAGAGCTGGAAAAGCCAAGAGGAGAGAGCCAGAGGAGAAGGGAAGTCCTCCTGGAAACCGGGATATTGGAGATAGGTCTTGAAGAATGTATAGAAGTCCACCAGATCAAATGAAAAAGTTTTACTAGTGGGAAAGCAAAGAGATATAAGCCCTGGGGAGGAGAAATTGGTAATCTCTGGCAAAATTGTATGCTCATTTATCCACTTAGGGGAATATATCCCAAAAGTCCCTTGCAAAACTAAGAAAAAGATACATGAAGATGGCTTTTCACAACAGCACTATTGAAAATATCAAAATATAGGGGCGCCTGGGTGACTGAGTGGGTTAAGCCTCTGCCTTCGGCTCAGGTCATGATCCCAGGGTCCTGGGATCGAGCCCCGCATTGGGCTCTCCGCTCAGCAGGGAGACTGCTTCCCTTCCCCTCTCTCTGCCTGCCTCTCTGCCTACTTGTGATCTCTGTCTGTCAAATAAATAAATAAAATATTTTAAAAAATTAAATAAAATGGAACCATAGACCATGAAAAAATTATAAATGATTACGTGAGGAGGACGGAAAGAACATGATGAAAGGTAAATGAGTAGAAGCTAGATGTTTCTCTATATATCTTGTTTTGCAGATTTGACTTTAGAACTATGCAAATATCTCACATAATTCTAAGGCAATATTAGACTTAAAAAATAACCCCTTCACTTCACACCCATTAGGATGGCTATTATAAAAAAGAAAATAACAAATGTCAGCAAAAGTGTAGAGAAATTGGAACTCTTGTGAACCACTGGTGGGAACGTAAAATGGGGCAGCCGCTGTGGAAAACAGTTTGGCAGGTTCTTAAAAAAATTAAACATACAATTACCACATCATCCAGCAATTCCACTTCTGGGTATATACCCAAAAGAAATGAAAGTGGGAACTCAACTCAAACAGATATTTGTACACTCACGTTCACAGCAGCACTACTCACAATAGCCCAAAGTGGAAACAACCCAAATGTCCATCAGCGAATGAATGGATAAACAAAATATGGTCTATCTGTACAACGGAATATTGTT